TCTGCTGCTTGTCCCCTCCCCCATTGTAGGAAGAGTGGTTAATGTTGGGGAATGTTGGGAAGCGGAGGTAAAGCAGTGAAGCCTTAGGTGTAGGCTACAGGTGTGGGTGCACGTGCTTCAGACTGAAAATGGCAGGCTTGGTGCTGAAAAGACCTGGTGAGGGAAGGGCCAGCAGCAGAGTGCAATTCCAATGCCTTTCCGTAGACGAGTCAGGGGCCTTGGGGGATTGACTGGAAATGGTCTAGAACATTAGCCTCTGTATCTCTTTGAAGTTCTGTTCTCTGATCTTCGCATTTAAGTGGGCACTTAAATTTTTCAGTTATACCTTACTATTTTTAAAGGAGAAATTATATGCTCTAATGCTATTCTTCAATTTGAGAGTCTGCTAAGGTCTCTGGATGGTTCCATTTAGAATTTCAAGGGCCTATTTTATGTCAGTTATGTGCCATAAATATTGAACAGCAATAATGAGTTCATGCATTTAACTTAATCCTCTGAGTTGATTAAATTATCAATATGAGACAAAACACATCATTAAATCCTTTCAAATGCCAGTTCACATAGTTTCAGGGTAATGCAGAATTGTTCAAAGCAAATGTTCATGTCAAACAAACTGGATTTGAGTCCAAACTCCACTGCTTAGGAACTCTGTGACCTGGGACATGTTACTTAACTTCGGTGTGCCTCAGTCTTATAACTTGTAAAAGAGGTTTAATAATACATCTTGGAAATAGTGTATGAGGTAATGCTTGTATTGTCCTTATTTTGATAATACAGTGCTCGAAATATACCGGTTGCTTAATAAATGTTAGTTATTATCTTACTATCGTAAACCACATGTGACTTTAAATATGTGAGCCTATAGCTAGCTAGTTCTCCCCTCATGTACCATGCTCGCTGCTGGTGACTTGCTGTCTCTGCAGTGCAGTTGGTTGAGTTTTGTCTCTAATACTGTAAGTACAGAATACCTGGCCTTGTACAGTCTAGTACTGCCAATTGTTTGACACTTGGCAAATTAAAAGTAATTCAGAAAATCTTGATGGTCCAGCACCTGTGGCTAGCAGATTTGTTACCAGTAGTTGCCTAGTGCATTGATGGCAAGATTTATTAACTTGTAGATTACTCAAGACATGGAAGACAGAGGAAGAAAAGCCTGGCATCAAGCTAATGATTATATAACAAAATTTGTTGAATTTGCTTGGTCCCACAGTCATTCCATTGCTACAGAAACAATTATCTCCAGAGTATCTGGAATAATTTATGTCAGAAAAAAAGAGCAGCATCCATAAGCAGAAAAAGAGGCATCAAAGATCCCTGTGATCCTCAAAGCTGCTGCTTTAATTTCAGTGACTGTTCTAGATTGGAATGGTGATAGTATTGAAGATGAGCCTGGTGATCCTAGCTCTGGCCGCTAAACATGCTCTAATGTAGTATTATCTGATTAGTAGCGTGGCTGTAGAACGTATAGCAGTTTTAAGTGAGGGATTTAAAAACATTTGACCCAAACAGTAATTTATTTAAATTTTGCTCAGTGAAAAATTTTATTAAGGTAATACCAGTCCATTATGAATGAAAATTTATGCTTTTTGAAATTTTGCACTCTAATCGTCTATGATGGTGAAAGGTTATTCATCTATTTAAAATGTGTTTTTTTTTTACCCGTCGGTTGGTTACCCTTATTGGGCCAAGGAGGGATTTCAGGGAGGCGGGTAAAGAATGGCCTAGCAGCCCTGATGCAGGGCTGACCTGTTCCTTCAGTGTTTGGCAAACATAATGCTGGGCAAGTGATTTTTTTAGACCGTTTTGCCCCCACATATGTTTCTCAAATTAGGTTCCATCCCTTCTTTTTTGAGAAGTTTTAAAATTTCATTTTCATCCTGATGGTCTTTAAAGTCTCCATAGGCATGATCATGGTATTTAGATCAGATACCAACGAGTAGTAAGGGAAGAAAATGTTAGTTTGTGTTTGCTTTTTTATTTAAAAAAGGAAAGAATTTGTGCTTCGCTAGTATTTATTATATATATTTAAAGCAGCAAATACATGTGACTTACAAATTAGTCAGTATATATGTGTGTGTTGTCACATTTTGTTTTAACTAATAGGAATGCATGATTTAAAAAATGTGGAAACTACTTATATAAATAACCACTGTGTAACTGAACTTTCTCTACAATTTCAGTGCTCACTTTTTCTTTTGGTTTTGTGATGAGAGAAGGCCACATTCCCATATGCTTCATTGTATAATACAGGTTTTGCAGGGGCTTGAGCAAAGTGTGAGAGTTGAGTCATCACACAACGGTAGTTTGGGATTGCCAGACTGTAAGAGTATCATATTCTTGTATTGATTGGATATATTTGAGGGATTTTGTCTTAATTTTAATAAGATACAGAGCAACTTGCTATCGTTATTTATAGGAATGTAGTAGTGTGTCTTCAGTGTAGATTTTTTGGTCCTGATTCCAGCAGTGATTGGTTGATATGCACTCAGTGAAGACTTAAATAACTGCTGTGGTGCTAACCTGATGTTCAAGTGACAAAGACACTCTAAGGAGTTGACAAGTTAGGTCTCACAGTAACTGCTGTTCAGAGAATGTTTACTGACAAAGGTTTCGTTAAATATAAGACCTGATTATCTGAACAGTAAACAGAGCCTGGAAGTTATGAACTGCATTTTGGACAACATACTATTGTGAACAGATGTTTTGTATATCACCGAGTTATATTGTAGTGTGGATGTCAAAATATAGGGACAAAACGAAGTGTAGAACCAGGCCTGAAGTTCTCTCTTTCTCCTATTAAGTACAACAGAAGTCATTTACTTTTAGCAAAATAGCATCATCCTTTAAATGGAATTATTGTTTTTAGAGTATTATTGGTTTCGTAGTTTTGTTACAAATTAAATTTGTAATTTTGTCTTTATGGTTGTACAACTATTAGAAGCCTAAGGAGTTTACTTTTCATGTATATATTTGTGTCATTCTACAAATAATTTAACATTTAGACCAAGTGAGAATTTTTTTTTCTCTATAAAAGAGTTGTGAACATTTCTTAAGTTTCAGAAACAATGAATTACAATATGTAGTTGGACTTCTAAATCTTTGAAAACCAGTCTGTTTCCTGACCTACTTTTCTTTTATTATACGCAAGTAAAATGATGTTTTTATGATCTATTGATTATGTTAACCAAGGGTTATATTACTTATATTGAGGCTAAAAATTATCTGTAGGAAAAATGTTGATTGAATTTATAATTTAAGCTGAAATTGCTACTTCTTTCTGATATTGACATTATATAGATATTAAATAATCATTTAATTTCATAGAGTGAAATTAACCTTAAACCAAAAACATGGCCTAAAGGAATACTCTTATTTTTGTATTGAAATTTGGAGGTCAGTTTAGGCTTGTTTAATAGTGGCTTATAATAAAAAAAGATAAGACTGATAATAACTTAATGTAAGTTAATCATCTTAAGTTATTAAAAAGAGAAGATATATTTTCCATTTTAAGAGAAATAACTTTCACCATTCTGTGAGTATGAATCAGTAGCAGCTGAAGATCTGATCTTTGAATGTGGTAGTGTTGGAACCCTTTCAAAATAGAAATCTAGCCAATTTTCAAGAAAAATCACAATGTTTCAGTTTTGAACTTTAATGCATTTGGAACATATGCAGCAGAACATTTTCTTCTTGCTATCCTCCTGCCAAACTCATTATGTATGCCACAGTAATTTTTTCCTTATGTTTGGGAAGCTCAAGTATAGGGTAGAATAAAGAATTGCCTGATTCATGTTCACTAGTTTTAATGGTAAGATCAAGAGAAGTATTTCAGAGAGATTTTGTAACTTTTTCTTGAAGAAAATATATGCAAAAATGAAAATGTTTCATTCACTCAACGAACATTTATTGAATACCTACTATATGCCAGACTCTATTACTAAGCCTGAGTAATCCAGTGGTGAAAAGGAAAATAAAGCTCCTGCCCTCAGAGAGCTTATATTCTAATGGGGGTGGTGGTGGGAGATGCTAGGGATTTCAGATTCATAACTGACCTATAGAAAATGAAACACGTAATGAGAATAGATTACCTTAGCTGAGATTGGAATAATATGAAGATTTGGGAGGAGAGAAGTCTAAATTTGGTCAGTAGCCCCTGAGGTGGGAAAGGCTTGGCATATCCTGGAACAGAAAGAAGGCCCCTGTGGGAGGAGCATGGTGAACGTGGGTGATAGGGCTGAAGTTAGAGAGCTAGAAAGAGACCACGTTAATTGAACCTTTTAGACCAGGTAAGGAGTTCTGATTTTCTCTGATTATAGTGGAGAGTCCTTGGAGGGTTTTAAGGGAGAAAGTTTAATGATTTGACCTATTTAAGGAAGATCACTCTGGTGGCTGTAAGGAGAATGAGCTGTGAGAGGGTGAGCGTGGAAGCAGGGACCCAGGGAGGGAGTTATTCCAGCATCTAGTCAAGAGGGGACGGCGCTGGTAGTAGGGAGGTGGGGTGGAGCTGGTGGACGGTGCTTGGATTGGAGGTGTGTTCCTTGCTGATGGATTGCGTGTTTTCATACTTCAGCATTTGGGTTTTGAAAGTTAAATTCTTTGGAATATCATAGTTTAACGTGGAATCTGTAAGTCTTGAGAATGTCAAATATTGCATTTTTAAGAAATGTTTTGAGAGGACAGTGTAGCTCCTTCAACTTCCCTTTGCTATGTGGCATAAAGTATACTCCGTTGGAAAAAAAATTTAAGGTAGTAACTTGAAGTTCTGCAGATAGGTTCATGCCAGATCACTCTAATTTCTCTGCTTTAAAACTAATACCACACAAGGATATGAAAAAAATAATTAAAGCTCTTTTAAAAATGTATTCAATAATAATCTTGAGTTATTTTTAATGAAGAAAAGAGTGAACATAATTGCCACATGATATAAATAAAGTGTATCTGTTTTTAACTTTTTGGTTTTATTTAAATAGTATATTTACTGGATTTTTTTTTGTTTCTAGTCACATTGTTCTGATGCTTGCAGATGATATGGCATGCAATGCTAGAAATCCCAAACCAGCTACAGTGTTCAGTCACAAGAATATGGAACTAAATGTGTATGGAGATGATGTAGAAGTGGATTATAGAAGTTATGAGGTAAATGATTTAATTTAGGAACATTTTTGAAATGTAGTTATTATTACTTTTAAGCTCTAAAATAGTGGTAGAATAAAATAGTCTTATTCTTTTTCTTTAAACTTCATACATAATTGTCACTGAGGCCTTGATGTAATTCTGTCTCTGGAGTTTATCTTAAGGAAACAATATATGAGTAAACCTTTCATAATGTGAATGTTTCGTATGTGTATCTAGGATAGAGCAGCTTTATCTTGGCTTCTTTATTAGAGTGTTTTATTGAGGTTTTATGTATCAACTTTCTTTTAGAGTAAACATATTGTTTCTTTTTCATATTTGGTCTAAAATGTGTTTTTAGTAAATATATTAATTGTGGAAAAATTAAAATGACTGACAAAAAACTCACCCATATTTCCACTACTTAGAGGTAAACATTTTTAATATGCTTCCAGTGTTTTTATGCCTAAATGATTAAAAATGAAAATGTAAATTTGAAAAAAATGGCATTATACTATATTTTCTCCCTTTGAAACTGCATTTTAGATGTAATATATTGTGAGTATGGTTAAAGTTTGAAGTCTTCCTTAATGAGGTCTTCCTCCGATAATCTTCCCTTTTTTACCAAGCCTACCAAAAGTAAGATGCAATTTCCTCTGTCCCAGACCTGTTTTGAAGCAATTTTAAAAGCATGTCTGTCTTCTCCCAGGCCGAAAGCTCCTTGAGGACATGGCCAGGATCTTATGTATCTCGTCCATAGCAAGTACCTATAACAGCCTGTTGAAGGCACTCAGAAATGTTTGTTCAACAATTAAATGTGTCTAAATGTTGGACTTTTTACTTGTGTATTTAGTCATCATATAATGAAAACCAAAAATTTTCCTACCTTGTTAGCCAACAAGAAGTCCTATTGAAACACTTGGCATTCTGTTGTCATCTGGGAAAAATGTAAACCAAACAGCTTATACACACAGGTACACACACACACGCACACACATTTACATTCCTATGACCTAGGGAAAAGTCAAATAAGGATAGATTTTCTGCTTTTTAAATTTAGATCTGTACACTATAACTTTAAATTAGCATTATACTCTCCATGACTTTAAATATGCTTTCAAAGAATCCCAGAAGTCCTGAAATTCCAAGTTGGGAAATCTGGTTTAAGGTGTTCTGAATTTTTACGTGTTAAAGATGCCCCTAATGAAATTTAAGTAACAAGATGCACTAAAAAATAAAAAATACATAATTTGAGGTTTATTTATGCACCTATCCTCATGGTTTTATTTTTTCGATTTATTATGAACCTATCTTTCATGGTTAATCTAGAATTGACTAAGTAGTTGCACAGATTAACTACAATAGTTATAGTGTAGCTGAATTTATTTACAAGTTTCTATATTTTGTATCTTCCCAAAGAATTGCCTATAAAGGCAGATTAATAATTTTTAAGTTTTTGGCAGTCCTTTGCAGAGAATTTAAAATTTTAAATTTAAAAGTAACTTAGTTTTTCCCAAGGTAGTTTTATTTGTTAGTGTTTAGTATTTTTTTAAGTAGAAGCAGAGTTACTTTGAGGTATATAGTTAATATATTTTAATTGAGTTGTATTCCTCTTTGTGTTTTATTTTCAGTTTGTGCTGAGTAATACATAGAGAAAGAGGAAAGAATGTTTTTGAAAGTAAAAAAAAATATCAGGTTTCCCCAAATTCTATTTCATCTGATATCTCATTTTTTTTCTAGGTGACTGTGGAGAATTTTTTACGGGTGTTAACTGGGAGGGTCCCGCCTGGTACTCCTCGATCAAAACGTCTTCTTTCTGATGATAGGAGCAATATTCTTATTTATATGACAGGTAATTTCAAAATTTAGATATTTAATAATAGATTATATTGTGACTCTTTTCAAAAAGGTATCTGCATAGAAAGAAATTTAAACACCTTAAGCAATTTTTGGTTAAAATAGTTTATTTATTATGTAGTTCTCTTTTTCTCATGTATAACAACTTGAAATGATATTTGAAAACAGTGTGACATTTTGTGCTGTTCCATAGTTTCTTCTCTCTATTCTTTTACTGTTACCCTGGTAAGGCTATCACCTGTTACTCAGTGTCCTGCTATAGCCGATTTGCCTTCAGTTTTGTCTCCTGTTTATCATCCTACTGATGGATTTCTTAAAAATTGCTAATCTGTCCCTCCTCTGCTTAACACTTGACAGTGGTTTCCCATTGATGGGGTCGCACGAGGATTGCCTGAATGCAGATATTTGGGCCTTTTCCTAAATTTCTGATTTAGTTTTAGTTCAGTTTAGGACTCAGGAAACTGCATTTTAAATATACTCCCCAGATATGTGCTGAAGTAGTCTTTTGTCAGTTACTTTGAGGAATATTGGAGATGAAGTCCTCATTTGGTTATGTTATTATTTATTTAATTTTAGTTCTTACACTTTTTCTGATTCCTTCTGAGCATTTGACTGTTTCTGTCCTCCAAACATTTGCTTAAGCTGTTGCCTTTCTTATCGATGTCTTCTCAGTTTACTCTCCCTACCTGATTATTCCCTGCCTTTTTTAGTCTTAGCTCAGGAGTCACTTCCTTTAATGATTTTCCTTTCTAAGTCTAAGGTGATCTATGTCGCCAGTTGCCTGGGACAGTCCTAGTTTACACCTGTTGTTCCAATGTGAGTATTAATAGCACCTCCTTTCTCCCTCAGAAGTGTCCTGATGTGAATAATACCTTTAATAATTGCCCTAAGACTCTTCTCATCTCCTTGGCTGGTGTAGGCTCTCTTTGTACTTGCATGTTAATCTGTAGTTTCTATCTTAGAATTTAACTTATTATTACTTTCTTGTTTGGATAGTTATTGCCTTCATTAGATTTTGAATTCTAAGATGTCATTGCTAATGTGTTTTTCATCTTTTTATCACCACTGCCCTGTCTTGTAGTAGTATTCAATAATTATGAATGTTAATCAGTTGATATTGAAAATTTTTTCAGAGGGCATTCCATTCAACTGATGATGAAACTGGTGCAGAATGATTCTTAGATGTCACACAGCAGGACAGTTACTGACCCTTACTTAGTGGTTTACTTTTATCTATCACATTGCATTTATTACAGCTTTTAAAATTCAATCAGTTTATAAACTTTATAAATTAATTCAGCAGAGTTATTGAAGTCAGGAAAATTTTCATCTTAGTTTATCTAGAAGTTACAAGAATTTTGCGAGTTTTTGTGGCATACAAGATGAAGTGCAGTCTTGTAGCTTAGTATTTGATGTACTAAATAAACTAAAGGTTTTACAGCTGGTTTTTTTGAGTCTGTTGGTACTCTTTCAGGATAATTCCAAGTGTGGAAGAAATTCCAGTAGTCTGAGATAGGATTTGTAGACTGTGGCCCATGGAAGGGCTGCCTTTTTGGAAATAAAGTTTCATTTAGAACGCAGTTGCATCCATTTGTTTTATGTATTATCTCTGGCTGCTTTTACGCCACAATGATAGGGTCCAATAGTTGCAACAGAGACCAAATGGCCCATAAGCGTAAAACATTTACTACCTAGTCCTTTACAGAGAAAGTTTGCCAACTTGTGTAAGAGAATGGGAGGTCTGATAATTATGAAAAGATGATAAAAATCATAATAGCTAATATTTATTGTGGCTTACCATACATCAGGCAATATTCTAAATCACTGTGTTTATTAATTCATATCATCCTCACAGCAACCTGAAGATTTAGGTACTGATGTTCAGGGCTGTCATATATGGTTGTGTGGGTTATGTACTACATATAAGCGTCTGGCTAGTGGGGTAAGTGGGAACTGAAATCTAGGATATGTTTATACTTACTAAGCTGTGTGCCCTGTCATAGAGTTGTGTCTAATGAGAGGGAGAAGTATTTTTTTTTCCCCGCAAAGGCATAGCCACTTACCACTTTTGAGCTCACAGGATTGCGTGTATTCAGAGGGGATGCTGAAATAGATAGATTTTTCTACCCTGATGACCAGTAGGAGGTACCTTTTAAAAATCTGCACAAAGGCGCTATATAGGCATGCTAATGATGGTCTTGCTGCTGCATTTCTCACTTTAGAGCTGAAGAAACTGAAGAGGCACAGAAAGATTGTCGTTTGCCTAAGATGGTACAGTCATTAAGGCAGAGCTAGTGTTTGAATCCAGACAGACCGGCTCTATCATGCATTCTAAATGGCAGTCTTCTAGTCAGCTCTCACGGGATGGTGCTTGATGGTAGTAAACACGTCAAGTTTTAGGTGAGGGCTGCACGTCCTGGTAGTCTAGCGTCCTAGGGGTATGCTGTGAGTAGTACTGGCACACCCAGGGGCTAGCCAGTGGCTTCCACTCCCTTCTCACCAAAGATGTTTGCCTGGTATTTCAGGAATTTTTGTCTATGGAAATTCATTTCTGATGTAACAGTGGAGCCCGTAAAAAATATAAATGTGCTTTTTTAGAATTGAATGATAGAAAAACTCTAGATGATACTATATCTACTATTTTTTACGCAGTCTATCCTTATTCTCTTTTTAATTGGTATAATAGAGAATTAAATTTATTTGTTTTCACAGTACTTTATATTTTAGAGTATAAAATAACAAATGATATTAAAATATTGTCATGAATGAAGTAAATGTTTATATCTAGATATATACAGTTTGCATTAAAAAAATGTGTCTATTTGATCTTTTTAACTCTTCCTACAAGGACATGGTGGAAATGGTTTCTTGAAATTTCAAGATTCTGAAGAAATTACCAACATAGAACTTGCAGATGCTTTTGAACAAATGTGGCAGAAAAGACGGTAATTAGCAAATGACTACGTTTTTTTTTCGTTTTTTGGGGGGAAGATTAGCTCTGAGCTAACATCTGCTACCAATCCTCCTCTTTTTGCTGAGGAAGATCGGCCCTGAGCCAACATCCATTCCCATCCTTCTCTATTTTATATGTGGGATGTCTGCCACAGCATAGCTTGATAAGTGATGTGTAGGTCTGTGCCCAGGATCTGAACTGGCAAACCCCAAGTCGCTGAAGAGGAGCACAGGAACTTAACTGCTGCACCACTCAGCCGGCTCCCCAAATGACTACTTTCATAAGATGAATTAGTATCTAATTTTTCCATGGTTAGTACATTTGTAGATCTTATTTTATGAAATTTTAACTTATTAAATCATTTTTCTCATCTTTTAGATTTGTGTTTGTTATTTCTACTGAACTGAGTTATTTTTAAAAGAAAAACTTAGGATTATTAAAAAGCCTGAAAAAATGTTAACGCTTTCAGGTCGTATCTCTTGTTATTTTGCATCCTCTTTGTTCCCCATTATTTAGGGGGATTGTAAACATATATTTATTTTCCAGCTTGTACCTATTCCTACTTTTTGCACATTCTCTGGCCCGTCATGTGATAGCAAAACCTGTTTTTTGTGGGGAAAAAATGCTAAAATTACGATTAGTATGAAATTTGTAACTTAACTCACATTAAGGATAATATATTGCTAGTCCACTCCTTTAGTTGAAAGTTGTCATATGAACTTAAGTGAATTTAAAGTAGCAATAGAACTGCTTTTAATTTGATTACTTTCAATAAACAATTATGGGTTACCTTCTAAATAGATGGCCCAGAGAGCGATATGATGCTTATTCTGCCTTCAAAGTGTTTAAAATCTCGTGGAAAAGAGAAATATGTACACAAATGAAATATTGTAAATATTGAATTGTAAACATAAACAGAATGTATGGAAGTGTTGAGGAGGAAGCTTTTACTAGACTGGTTTTATCTTATTCATAGCTTAGATTTATTGAATGTGTACTGGCTGCTGGGCACTGTGTTTTACAGATATTGTCTCACTTAATTTTAATAACAATTCCATGAATTAGATACAGTTACTATTCCCATTTTTATAAATGAGTAAATTGAGGCACAGATGGATTAAATAACTTGTCAAACTTTACACAGCTAGTAAGCGCCAGCACTAGGATTCCCATCCAAATGGTCCGATCCCAGAGCTTACTCTCTTAATTATACTGCCTCTCATCAACTTGGATGTTTCTGATGCTCAGGGGCCTCCGCAGATTTTATCTCAGAACAAATGTGTCATATTAACTGTGACTTCTACCACCTGCTTAGATATTGTGGGTCAAGATTCTATGCTTTCTTTTCTGGGTGCAGTGTTAGCTGTTTACCCAGATCCAGTGTCTAAGACAAACCCCTGAGGAAAGATATCTGCTCCCTACTTTCACCTTCACCAGCTAGCTAGCTCAATCTAAAATATGAAGCTGATTATGTGATTCTTTCACTTAACCAAGCTTCTGGTGGCTTTGTCAACACTTCATATGGGATCTTTTACAGATTGACCCTACTGTACCTTTGTGAAACAAATTTCCCTTCATTCCCCCAAATTTACTCTAAATCCTAGCTACACAGTGCTATTCCCCTTTTCCCAAACATTTATACTTTTTCACATTTAGGTGCCTTAGCACAGGCTTTTTCCTCTGCTGGAATGTGCTCTTCCTTTCTTTGTTAGATAAAATGACACTCACCCTTCGTTGCCTGAGTCAGACCTCACCTGTCAGTGACCTGCCTTTCTTCACAGTTCCCTCGGTTCCTCTCTCAGAGCACTTGGGCTTTGTTAGACTCTAAGCTCTGTGATGACAGGGACTGCTGTGTCCTCAGCTTAGCGTCAAGCACATTGTAGTCTCTCAATAAATATGTGCAACACTTACCACATCCCAGTGTAGTTATACACTTATGTGTCTGTCTTCCAGTTAGATTTTAAGCTCTAAGTATGATGACTAAGTCATATTTTTTTTCTGAACCCAGCTCAGTTTCTAGGACAGTGTGGGTGCCAAATAAGTGTTGAATTGAATATACATTTTGATTCTGAATCATATGACATAGATAAGGTAGGGGGAAAGAGTTGGGGCAGCCACTTTGTGAAACCACCACTGCTCCCTGTTGAGATGGTTTCCCTGTACAGGATTATTCCTTTAATATTTCTAATATCAAATTCATATTGGGAATTCTACTAAAAACTCTCAAATTTTTAACTAATGAAATGATTAAGATATGACTTCAACATCTTATATTATAGAAGTATTATAAAAATATTAGTCAATGTATGAGTAATAGCATGATTCTTGTCAAAGATATTACCACTTTTCTTTCAGCTACAATGAACTACTGTTTATTATTGATACTTGTCAAGGAGCGTCCATGTATGAGCGATTTTATTCTCCTAACATAATGGCTTTAGCTAGTAGCCAAGTGGGAGAAGATTCACTCTCGGTAGGTGCATTTTTCCCATTTGCAAACTGCATTGTCTTTGGGATGTGTAGCTATTTCTGAAATCACTTACATCCTTTACGAGTATGTTTGCTATTTCATATTCTTAGACTTTTTAACATCTTAGAAGGGAATTTTGATTACATTTAAAGACATTTTGTTATAATGATGCTTTTAGATACATACTTTTTTTGTTTTGCTTTTTTATTTTTATTGAGGTGTAATTGGCATACAGTATTATATTAGTTTTAGGTGTACAACAACGATTCGATGTTTGTGTATATTATGAAATGATTACCACAGTAATTCTAATTAACATCCATCACCATACGTAGTTATAGAATTTTTTTCTTATGATGAGAAATTTTAAGATCTACTCTCTTAGCAACTTTCAAATATGCAATACAGTATTATTAACTATAGTCATCATGCTGTACATTACATCCCCATGACTTATTTATTTTATAACTGGAAATTTGTACCTTTGACCTCCTTCATCCATTTGCCCACCCCCCACTTCCTGCCTCTGGCAACCACCAATCTGTTCTCTGTATCTATGAGCTTTTTTTTTTAAGATTCTATGTATAGTGAGATCATACAGTATTTGTCTTTCTCTGTCTGATTTATTTCACTTAGCATAACGTCCTCAAAGTCCATCCATGTTGTTGCAAATGGCAAGATGTTCTTTTTTATGGCTGAATAATATGCCATTGTATATGCTTTGCCTTTTCATAGCATCAGCCTGATCCTGCAATTGGAGTCCACCTTATGGATAGATACACATTTTATGTCTTGGAATTTTTGGAAGAGATTAATCCAGCTAGCCAAACTAATATGAATGACCTTGTAAGTATTTGCTTGGTTTGATTATAGCAGGTAGGTATGCTAATCTTAATGTGATAAGTGAAGTCTGTTATTTCTGGTACTCCTCGGGTACTGTTTTATGTGTTGATTGGTGGCCTTTTAAACTCTTTTGACTCTCCCTTTGCAGTAGTGTCTCTCTCTTTAGTACAAGAGGTCTAATGCTTTAGCCCAGGTAGCTTGCTGTTCCTTGAGGTACTTTCCTGTTTTCTTCATTCATTTGCCCATGCTCTTTTCCCTACCAGAAAAGCACTTTTTTTTACATTCACCTATTGAAATTCTGCCTATTCTTCAGGAGTCAAATCAAATCCTGCCACCTCTGGGAAGTCTTCCCGTATTCTTCCCTGTTGGAATTTACGTAAGATAAATAAAGCTTTTCAGAGCTCTCTTTCTCTTTTAGTGCCTTTTATCATAGTGTTTTTGAACTTACTAATTGACTGTGAGTGTCTTTCTCACTTAATAGGAAATTCTTGGCGGAGAGGGGCCTTCTCTTACATATTTTTGTGTACCCTACAACTTCTAGTATAGTGTTTTGATGGAGCTTGTTGAATTTAGTTCAACTTTCTTCCTGACTTTTCTGCGCTGATTGTATCTTTTTAAATAAATGCACTTTGAAGTTGCTATTGAAAGTAGACATAAGAAAAGCTTGAAACAATTCTAGACTGGATAATTAGCGTGCATCAATGACTGTCATTCTTTTTTCCATTAATTTATACCTTCATTCATTCACAAACATTTCTTGAGTGTTTGCTGAGTGCCAGGCCCTGGCTATATCCTAGTGAAAGAGGTAGACACTGTCCCTGCCTTCATAGAGCTTTGCAATGAAGTGGAGGCTGAGCAGACAGATGCCAGCACTTCAGCCAAGCAGCTTTGCATGGATCTCTTTTATTATACAGAAATCTTTTAGGTAAATTTTTATTTATTAAAGCAGTTCTATTGCAAAATTCTGAAAACCACTGTATACACTATCAAATTTGCTAGCATAGAATAGAGCTACTTCCTATATTTTGGAGGTTATATATTTTGATGCATATTAAATCTCAATATGAATTTGAATATTAAAACGAAACTTGTGGGGAGCTGGCCCCGTGGCCGAGTGGTTAAGTTCGCATGCTCTGCTGCAGGCGGCCCAGGGTTTCATCAGTTTGAATCCTGGGTGCGGACATGGCACTGCTCATCAAACCACGCTGAGGCAGCGTCCCGCATGCCACAACTAGAAGGACCCACAACTAAGAATATACAACTATGTACCGGGGGACTTTGGGGAGAAAAGGGAAAAAAAATAAAATCTTTAAAACAAAACAAAACAAAACAAAACTTGTGAAATGCTACTTTAACTGTAAGAAAATTATAGTCACCTAAATTCCAATTACTTTAATTTTAGAGTTTATTCCCATTTTTGGATTATACATTGTATATTTTATGTAATGCATGATATGATGTCTCACAAGTTCACAGTATATGAACCTCTCACTTTTAGAGTCTAGTGGATTTTAAAAACAATTCTTCCATTGGAATCATACAGGAAAGACTGAGAAAACTAATGTTTTTTTATTGCTCACAATTGCTGTTTAGTTTTTAGTAAACTTTCCTCACTTATGTCTCCTCTTGCCCTCCCCCTGTTTTTTAATTGAATGATGATTATTTTAGCTTTGTTCAGTAAGAATGATCCATTTCCTTGAAGTTAAATAATACAGTGATTTGACGTATCTCTAGATATTGTATAATAATACCTATTTTTTGTTGGATTATGTATGTATGATAAAATTTGTTGAGTATCAGCTGTATTCAGAGTACTATATTAGGTGCTTCAGGAGCAGCAAAATTCGAAGACTTGCTGCTTAGCCTCTTAAAAATGTGTTGTGTCATTGGTCACAGTTGAAGAGCATGTTTATAGAGTATCACTCATTATACGGAGTCTCTGGGTCCTCCAGGTAATATTCTTTCTTCAGTGAACACATAACTCTTGCTATGTACCTTTATTATGCTTTTCACATTTCTCTGTAATTGTTCATATTTATGATGTTCCCTGGAGGCTTTGAGCTTCTTAAATAAGAGGACCGTGCTTTATGCCTCTTACTACCCACAGAACTTAATTATGGTACCTGGTGTATTTGTAGGTGCTCAGTGAATATTGAATGATGGAGAGGACATGACAACAAAATGCAGTGGGATTAGTGATTAAAATTTTTCCTGGAAGAGGTAGATTTTCAAGTTTGAAAGAAGAGAAATATAGGATACTCTAGGAAAGTGGAATACCTGCGGAACGCGGAAGTTGGAATACTAGATAATCCTTGTCTTTCGTGATAAACATATGACTAGGCCAGAGTGCGGAGATTCTGTAAGTGAAGGAGATTACCGAAAATTAAACGGAGTCATTGCAGGTCATTGTGTTGCTGAGGCTAAGGAATCAGGTTTATATGGATAGACATTCTTGAAGGAAGGAATGACCTCATAAAAAGTAGAGGTATGTTTATTTTAGGAGCAAAGAAGAGGATGATACTTATTCAGTGTTTCCCAAGCTCATTCGGCTACACTTTTCCTGCTTTCTTCTGCTGGTACCTTAATAAAGCCCATCACATTGCTCATGGATGCCTGCAATATTCCTTTGTTTCAATATTCTTTGTTTATTGTGTCTTGTCTTTTACTTTGTTTCCTCAATCTTCCATCTGTTTTGTGCTTCCTGGGCAAGTGCTGTGGGCTGTGGGCCCTTACCAGCAGGCCTGTAGTGGTTTTCTTTATATATCCTGTGCTTCTGCCAAACTAGGTTATTTGTCTTGCACATCTCTGCAGTGGCTCCATTATTAGGAATGTTCTTATTTCCCATGTATAATCTTCTTTTTCCTTGAAAAAAATAGCTTAAATCCAACTCCCTGTTTTTTCTTATCCTCAAACTATGAGAAGTTTATCCTCTCTGAAGTAGAACGTGTCTCCTTTTTTTCTACCTTGTTATGTTTATTCATCTCTGACTAGACTTAAAGCCTTGAAGACAGGACCCTGTCTTACTGGTTTTTGATCCTCTGTGGAAGAGAACAGTATGAAATATATGTAATCGACACTTCATGCTTCGCTGAGTGAATGAAAATGTGTCTGTCCTTGCAGTTCATTGATATGGAATAACAGGGATAAGATTAACATAAAAATTATTGTGAGATCTTGTAGCAATGAAGTCTTGGTTTTCAGACTGTTTTCTTTGGAGCACTAGAGTGCCTGCATGTGCCTTGGGTTTATTTTCATCATGGATAAACTAAGAAAGTTACTTGATTTATAGAAAGGTTTGCATAGGTTCACAGCAATAGAGCAAGGGGATATCTAGGGGGGAGGCTGTGCTTCAACTTCCTGCAACCCAGAGCAGCTCAGCTTTCATCTTTTTGCATATGGGACTACTGTGGAATATTTTATTTGAATTTAAAGTTTGAATGAAGGGTCATGATTACAAAATGTTTAAAAACCACTCTGGTAGAGCATCCCACTAAGATGGACATAGAGGAAGAAAAAAGCAATTCTCCTGTTGTAATATTGGCGTGTGGGTTCTCATAGATTAAAGCGTTCAAAGTATACTTTGAGCATATTTTTTAAAAAATGAATGTTTTTTCTCTCCTTGGCTAGATTCTCTGTTTAACACCTGTTCTAATGTCTGCATAGCTTTCTTGGAATGTCAAGCACTGGGATAGCAATGAAGCTTTAATCTTTAGAACCAGTAGATTCTTTAGGTTGCAGGAGCTTTAAATTGAAATACACTGTAGTCTCCTATATTGTGTTAATTGAATTTAATAAAAGTTGTATGTGTGTGGAGTCATGTGTGTATTTATTATTGTTATATATATTTTTTCAGTTTCAGGTATGTCCCAAAAGTCTATGTGTGTCTACTCCTGGACATCGCACTGATCTTTTTCAGAGGGATCCTAAAAATGTCCTGATAACTGATTTCTTTGGAAGTGTACGGAAAGTGGAAATCACAACAGAGACTATTAGTTTGCAACCAGATTTGGGAATCATGGAAAGCAGGTATACATCTTAAATTGTTATTTGAATAGAATATTCTAGTTTCACAATTTGTAAATTTTTATGTAACGTAATATTAAGAGATCAAAGTTCATGTTTGTAAATAAAATTACACAGTTCTACCCAATCTTCACTTTATGTATGCCCAATGCTATTCAGATTTATGGGCAAAGCTATAAATAGCAGTGGGAAGCTAAGATCGTGAAGAGGATTATGTTGTAGCTCCAAAAAACAGGTTTGTAGTAGTGTGATTTGAGATTTGCTAAAAAGGGCTGAAACTTTCCTTGTGACTTGCTGTCTCAGCCGTACCTTTCTGGCAGTGGAGGTGTGTAGTGGGTCAGAAGACCTTCATGGAGGGGCAGGTGTATGAACGTTTCAAACATTAGTCCTCTCTAATGAGTGTGTGCACTATCATCTGTTGCAGTAGGAGGTATTAAATGATGTGACATTGAATGAAGTTGGCAGCTGCCCGTTTAGAAGGTAATAAAGGCCCTAGGAATCTGGCAGATGCAAGGTCGATAAACATAAAAAGGGGAAGCAAATGCCAAAAGACCGTGGCTGCCAAATACATATTTCAAACTGTTGCACAGTGCCTCCATGTTCACAGTTTCTTCAGGCTCCAGCATTCGGATTAGTTGACTGCCATGTATTTTGGTTCCTAGAGTCTGAGTGGTTTGTGAGCCTGGTTCAGTCATAGCTCTGGCTTTTCCCTAGTCTTGTATTCTGTTAGTCTGGAACAGTTTATCTGGGGCTGTTGCAAATTTGGAGTGACCCTCCATCAACAGGTGCCACTGTGTAGGATTTCTTTGGGGGGCTCTGGGTAATTTATTAGGGAAAGGAATGAGAGAGACTGGTATAGCAGATTCTCCCCTCTTGGGGAGTGGATTGTGTGTGAGTATGCATGCATGCATGCATGTGTAGGGGTGTGTGTTGGGGGGAGAAGCTTGAGAGAAATTGGTTGATTCTGGATGTGTAAATTTTAGAAATATTTATACTGTTCCATTTGCTTTTTTCTCTGTAAACGTTTTTAAAAGCAAAACACTTTGTTAGGATTAAATAGTGTCTCAGTGAATAGCCACTTTCTTGAACTCTATAGATGATATATTTTACTAGGCATTAAACTTTGTGATTGTCTAATGCTATCTACTGAAAACTCATACTCCAGGGAACTTTTCTAGGTTGCCAAATGTCAGCGTGTACATTATTCTCAATTTTGAAAATTTCAAAGATTTTTAATTGAATTTATGAATGTTTTAGGAGTAAATTTAAAAAACTAGCACAAAATACATCTTTTATGCAGATTTAAAAATTGATATTATTAATTATTTCGTATTCTGGATATTCAAAGTATTGGATTTTTTTTTCTTTTCCAATTTCCTATAGCTATTGGCTTAAAAAATATATTTTCTTAAGACAGCAGATGATATCCCACAGCAATATCACTTTTATTTATTATTTAAATATTGAATTTAAAATTTCCTTTGTAAAATAGCTAAACTATATCTTAATATTTAGCAACTAAAATTGAAATTGAGCTATTTGTCTTTTACCAAATTAATTTTGTAATTTCCCTTGAGCTTAAGCCTGTAAGATACAAGATACATTTTCTCTTAACCATCTGAACATTGTGTTAATTTCCTTTGTAAGAAATGACCATCTTTGTACTTCTTCTGTACTTGTTTTCTATTCTCTCCATTTAACACAATATTAAATACGTAATAATTGTACAATAAAAAATGATTTTAGTGGAATTCTGTTTCATTTTATATTCTGGGAGAATTGAATTTTGTCTCATAAATGTCTCCATGCATTAGTGTGAGAGCAAAAATTGTTGGTGCTGAAGATTATCTTAATTTATCTTTAATTGAAGAGAAAATTATTTTAAGCATCAAATTTGCCCAGATTGTTGAGTTAGAGCGCCCTCTAGTGTTTATAAATAAATTTTATTTAGAATATTGCTTATGGATGGTTTCATGATTACTGGTATATGTTATCCAGTTAATTTAGGAGAGTTAAGTTCCCAATATGTTCCAGGAATTTTTACATGGATGCTACAAAAATTATCTCAGTATATGTAGGTGGTATTTATATGCAAATATGAAAGGCAATCATATGCTTGTTTAGAGAAAAGTATATTCGTGAGAGATTGGATATCACAAAAAACAATTAAGGAAATTATGGGCTTGAATATATATGTATTTTTTCAGATTTTAGGTTGAAAATATCAGTACCATCACTGTTATTAAAATTGGCAGTCATACTTTTTTTTTTTTTTTTTTAAGATTTTATTTTTTCCTTTTTCTCCCCAAAGCCCCCCCGGTACACAGTTGTATATTCTTCGTTGTGGGTCCTTCTAGTTGTGGTATGTGGGACGCCGCCCCAGCGTGGTTTGATGAGCAGTGTCATGTCCGTGCCCAGGATTCGAACCAACGAAACACTGGGCCGCCTGCAGCGGAGCGCGCGAACTTAACCACTCGGCCACGCGGCCAGCCCCATGGCAGTCATACTTTTTAAAAAATTATTTTGTACTTGTATTAGGGAAATAATGGACCTGATTTGTTCACATTGCCGGTATTTCATATTTTGTGTACTAGAGTATACTAAACTAAAATCAGATATGATGAAGAACTTTAGTACATAAAATTGACTGAAGTAGCTGTATGAAATAATTGTTTTTGTGTGTCTTCTGAAACTTAGATATTGAGTAAGGTACAGTCATATAGTTTGTAACAGCACTGTCTCTGTATGTATCTTACTAATGTGTTATTAATTTATTTGCAAGAACAAATGAGGAAAATAAGGGCTGATAGCAATAAACTTGGCTTCTATAACTTAATTCTAAACTGCTTCACTACAAGCGTTGACTTTTAATAAGTCTGCAGACAGATAAACAGCCTGCCCTCCTGAAAGGGTCGCGCCTACTAGAATCTAGTAATAAGTCTATGTCCACATCACTCGGGTTACCAGTTTTGTGTCCTTTCTATACATGAAGGGAAAAGAGCCTCCAGCTTGTGGATGTGAAAATACAGGCACATTTTAGTGTTACAAAATGTAGAAGTCTAGATTCTATAGGCATTGCTCAAGAAGATAAGGCATGCAGGACAATGTGAACTGTAAACTCTTAACTTTTATCCTGGTTGATTAGATGAAAACTTACCTACTTTGATTTTTGCTTTAGGCTCTAAGTTTAGGCACTTGATTCTATTCGTGAATTTTTTGTCATTGTCGTTTTATTCTGTTATACTAGAATTTCTTTCTCTCTTTAGGCAGTCTTTAACAATTGAAAATTTTTGAGTCTAGCAGGAAATTTGAGACTGGACTCTTTTCTTACAGACCTCCAACAGAGGGCTGAATGTGGCCCCCTCAAGGTTGGTCTATGTTTTGAACACCAGAGTAGGACTCTTTCAAGGGCTTGGTAAGGAGGTCCCCACTTCATGCAGGAGGTCAAAGGTCAGACAATTGCTGCCACAGTCATCATATTTTGAGTCCTTTCTATATGCTTCATGCCTTATATGATCAGCTAGGACTTTTGGGTTGTAAATAATAGAATCCAACCTGAGCTAGGTTTATTTTCTTAAGGACATTGGTTATACAGATATTCTGTGTTTTATGGAACCCAGGGGCAGACCCCAGTAAGAGACTAGAATCAGGAACCACATATCAATCAGAAACGCAGGCAGCACCCTCTCCATCTCCCTGTTGTTATAGCCTTTTCTTTCTCTGCTGCTCTGGCCATGGAGGGGATGGAATGTTTCCACACTACTGTTCTGGAGATTTATAGCTCTTCTATTCATGATAAAGCCCCGCTAGGGAATGAACTTGCTCATTCCCCACCTGAAGCTCCCCAGACAGCTTTTTGATTAGCCCAGCTTGGGTCAGATGTTCACCTCTGGTCGAGCTGGCAATAGTGGGGTCACATGAGACAAAATCATGGCCCCTGGGGGTTGCAACCCATGTGAATAAGATGAACCCCCAAAAAGGGACTTGAGAGCTAGGCAGATACCCTGAAGGGTGTTTGTATTAATTTTATTTAATTCACATGATAACTTTATGAGACAGGTGTAATTTCCCCATTTACAGATGAGTAAACTGAGGCTGAGAAAGGTTAAGAAACCTGCCTAAAGTCACATATCCAACATATGGTAGAGCCAAGACATGAATCTAGGAATGCCTCATACTTCTAGAAAATGTGTTCTTATTTTGTTCTTTTATAATTTACCCTGAGTTACTTGGTTTGTTCTCTTTTAAAAGGATATAAAATATAAATGGTAGCTCAATGAATTATCACAAAGCATCTACTCATATAACCACCAGAAAAAGAGAGAGAATGATGCTGGTATGCTGGAAGCTTCTCCAAGCCTCTGCCCCTTCCCAATCTCGACCCTTTCACTTCCCCTCAAAGTTAACCATTATCCTAACTTTCATGGAATTTACTTTCTTGCTCTTCATTTTATTTATATCATCTAAGCATGTATCTCTCAACATTATGTTTTGATTCTTTTGCTAATATTATGTTTTTGGAATTCATTTATGTTGTGTGCAACTGTAGTTCAATTTTTTTTGAGTTTTTAAAAATTGAGGTATAATTTACTTCTAGTAAAATCACCCTTTTTAGTAAACACTTCTGAGTTTTGGCAGATGCATATACTTGAATAATCACCATGCCACTTCATCACCAAAAGAAATTCCCTTTTTATCCAATTCCTCCTCCGTATCCCTAGAAACAACTGATCTGTTTTCTGTCCCCATGGTTTTGCTTCTTCCAGAATGTCATATAGATGGAATCGTACATTCTGTACCCTTATGAGTCTGGCTTCTTTTACTGGCATAACACACTGCAGATTCATCCCTGTTGTCATGTGTGTTAGTAGTTTGTTCCTTTCTATTGCTACGGCAGTAAATTCACAGCAGTAAAAAGGAACAGACTACTGATACATGTGATACAGTTTATTCGTGCATCAATTGAAGGACATTTGTTTTTGCCCCCCAGTTTTTGGCAGTGA